CGGCCCAGGAGGCCTCCACCTCTCCTGGGAAGCTCTAGGCAGGTGCAGCTGCTGCTGACGCGCTCTGTGGGCTGCCCTAATCCGTGGGAGCTGGGACCTTCTTCCAGCTGGGCCCTGACGAGGGCGGCTCAAGCCCCCTTTAGCTGGGGCCGCGCAGAGGCCTATATAAGGGCGCAGCTCCCAGGGTGCAGCTCCTAGAGGCAGCTGTGGCTGGTTCTGGGTGCTGCTCGGTTCTCCGGGGAGCTTGGTGACTTTGGGGACCCCACCGAGGAGCTAGGTGGGGGTCTGCTGCTGACAGCTCAGGATAGCCAGGTAAGGACAACCAGGGGGGCTTGTTGCTGGTAGTGATGATTCCTCACTTAGGATTTGGCTTTGATGATGTGAAATCTGCCCTGTTTCTGGTAACAGGGGTAAAAGCTTGTTTGTGTCAGTCAAGTAAGTGACTCCTGGTACAGGTGGCCTGAGAAAGGTGCTACTGCTTCTGGTCTGCCTCTCTTCTGACCCAGTCAGCACCAGCTTGGCACGAGGACTGAGATGCCAGTTAGTGCAAAGCACGTAGTCTTTGAAATGCAGTGAGAGAAGAGCAGATTATTTTTTATCTTCCGTGTTACCTAGATCCCCCCGAGTTAAACTGGGCCTATGTTGCGTTTCCTGATTGCGCTCATGCTGGCAGCTGTTCTGCCCCTTACAACAGAGCCCCTCTCCCCCGGTAACTGAGGCAGGCGAGGTGTCCTGCCAGGCTTTACCTGTCAGCTCCTGTTTCTCTGGCTCACGAGGAGCCTGAAGCATCCTTCGCGCAGGGTGACCGTCGCGCACGGTGCTGTCATCTCCCGTGCATGCTGATCCGGTGCGTAGGGCTTGCTGCCGCAGTGCGTTGTGCCGCACGCTGCTTCGCCCGCGACAGCTCAGGGAACTTGCTGACGCAGACCAGAGGAAGAAGGGGTTGTAGATGAGGTAGTTCTCTTTCCAGTTGGTTGCTAGTTTTAAGTATTGCTAGTGCCAGTAACGAATGCCAGTCTGTATTTCTCTGAGATCCCTTTCCTCTCTTTCTGACGAGAGCGCTAAACGTCCTGCTTTGCACAGAGACCACGCAGGGATAGATCACGTCCTGATGAGCCTACAGTATGAACTGGCAAACCTTCACAAGATGCATCTTAGTGGTCTTAAGCTCGCAGAAGTGGATGGGCTAGCTGCATCTACTCTTTTCATTTTTACTGAATTAACGTAAGCAGATGACTTTCTTAATTCGGTCAAGTAGAAGTTGGAAGATGCATCTGTTTGGAAAGCAAATTGGTTCTGCTCCTTCCATCAGACTGAGTGGTACTCGCACTGTCTAATATTTTAATATGTTGTGCTGCAGGTGCTGCTCCTAGTCAGTTAGAGCAGCGGGCCCACTGTGAAGGGCTCCACCCTAAAAAAAACAGACCCACAGACAGCTTCAACAAGCACATAAATAGCCCCATTAAGTCAGTGTGTCTCCTCATGCACTGAAAGCTCGTACACAGTGCCTAGCAAGCTTCTAGCCCATTCGTTCACGCTGCCAAGGGAGGAATGGAGACGTCGGAGACCATGAATGGAATTGGAAAAGGAGGAAAAAGGAGGAGGAGACTAGAAACAGGCCTGTGTGTGGGAACGTGGGAGCTGCACAGGTTTTCATTCTGCACGCGCAGTCGGCCTCCTGAGGGGCTGCATGACCTGCAGTTCAGATACTGCTAGGGCAATTTGGAGATCAACAAGGTATGAATCGTTAGTACAGCACCACAACTCTGTGTGCAACTCTCACTGTTCTAGGAAGCAAAGTACCGCAGGCTCACTCTCGCCCTTAGAGATGGATAATACTCGCTTCATAGATGGGGCAACTGAGCGAATGCCAGAGCAACTTTAAAGTCCACGTCCTCGGTGCTGGTCACTAGCTAGGCCCCGGACTAGAGTGATTTCGCCAGTCAGAGGCACTGATCTTGGTCTCTGTACTCGGCTCCACTCAAGCTATCCCTTTTTTCTGAGGGCTTAGTCTAGGAACCCAACTTGGCCAAATTTTGGTTCGGAGGGGTTTGTTCAGATCATTGAGCAATGAGCTGAAAAAAGGAAGTCCAGACTTCCACGTCCGTGTTCTGACTTTCCCTCTAATGAAGCTTGCAAACGTGCTGCAATTACTTTGATCTGAGGAAAACACATTGCTGAAATGCTATAGCCTGTTGTTGCGGACCTCTGAATCGCTTACTTCTGCCCACGATTTTTTTTCCGTTCAGAATATAGGTGTCTCCCTCTAGTGGTTAATAATACAAATGACTTCCTGCTTTTATTTCTTGTTTCTAGTGCTTGTGCAGAAAGGGAAACATACAATTGTAGTCATTAAAGCAGCTTTATTAATGACTGCTTTTTCCATCATGTGTAAAAGACGTGGTTTTAAATTGGAGGCACTTGTTGCTTATCAGAGAGCAAGACATCATAATAAAAAAGATATCATAATTGGATTTAGGTGCCCAAATCTAAATCTGAATATCTTTAGTGTTTTAGTTGCTTCTAAGCTGGCAGTTGTTTTCTGCAAGGAATCTGATTTCAAAAACCACGCACAAAATTAATGCGTACTTGATCAGACGGTGAACTTACCTTTTGGGAGAGTCCATAGCATGAAGCTGAATGCGGTAATTCACAAAGACAATAGCATCTTTTTTTTTCCGTTTAACTTAATTACTGCCAGGAACTGTTTCCTTAGAAACAAGAGGAAAGGTAGTGTTACGAGGCCTCCTCTATTACTTGCATTTTATTCCTTAGGCTTTCACTTTCTAATCATTAGTTGCCTCTGTATTTAGCTATTGAATATTTATTTGCCATTAATAATTGACTTGGCTGATAGCTCACTATAAAACGAGCATTTATACAAGACGCGAGTCATCTGAGTTCTCAACAGAAGGCAAGGAGGCACATCAGCACTCTTCTCTGGGAGTTCAACAGGAACTCAAAATCAGGTGAGAACTGTTGAAAAGGGCTCGCCCTCGGTGAAGCGAGGATGAATGGGGAAGTTGGCTCTAGCTTGTGACGCGGTGGTTCCTAGTGCGTTTCTCTGACTGACTCGAGGATTTAGGTGTACAATAGCGCATGATTTTTGAGCGCTTTTGTGCGGTATACTACAATGCATCATAATGCAGATTTGAAAACACAGAGCAAAATTTGGAAGTAGAAGAAGCTGCAAGCTAAGAGAGGAGACTTGCACCGATTCTTGTGAGACAGTCAAGCAGCACAGAAATACCAGTTACAGACTTTAATTGCTACATTCATACAAGGCAAAGCCGCAGTAATTGTAAAAATTGAAATATTTATTCATTGTTTCGTCTCTTCATTAACGCTTAAATGCTTTGATCTCTTTGGTATTGAAGACGTCTAGGTTTTGCTTGCTGGGGGGGGGGGGGGGGGAAGACAGGCCGTAATCACAGCCTGTAATTATATGATTAAGGAAAGTGAGCATTTCTCACGAATTGACAAGCTACCAGGGGACCAACTCGGTCATCACGGCAGTTCTGGGACAGCCCATCAGACCCTTTCCCACTGATATTTTCATTAGCAAAGAGCGTAATGTTTGCAAAGCTCTGCAGTATCTTTTCCTTAGAAGCTGTGACACTGAAGTAATTATCAATGCAGAAAACATGAGGGACATGCAGGTGTGGAATGATTCAATTACTTTTGTGGTTTTGTCCAATAAGCAGTAATACATTTTTCTTTTCGAAGTCTTAACGCTGGTGTCATTGACTTCTGGGCTGTCACGGTGGTCCCTGCTGCAAGCATTTGCCTCCCCTGTCACAGAGCTGTGAAAAACTGGTAAGACTTGCATTTAGCTGTTCAGTATGGAAAAGTATGTCATAATTTCTGCTACTGAACAGAGTATTTTAAGAATGCTTTTGTTTTAAATCTAATATTCTGAGAAGTCTTGCTGAATAGACCTACTTGCAGAGAAAAGTTCAGGACTCTCTCCTGACACGCATTCCCTTTTGTACGTAAGTTTTCCTGGACTTGCGATTGCACTGCACAGCTAAAAAGCGGTAACGCTTTCTGCTTAAACCCGGCCCGAAGGTCAGTTCAGATCATGGAAACTTTTTGCATTGCCTAGTCTCATGAGTATGTTGTGAGAACTGGGAATGTTAGAGGCTAGACATTTTCAAAGTGATCACTGAAGGCTGATCCAGCTATTGTATCAGTATGTGCTGTCCGGACCTGAAGCACTTGGGTCTTTCCGTAAACTGGAACGTCATCTGCTTGATCACAAATCAAGTTTCTTGGGCAGTTCCTTTACACACACATGCTGCCCACGTGGCAGTTCTATAAAGCAAACTAATGTCCACCTTGGAACTGAAGACAGCTTTGTTACTGGAATTGCTGCACGTAAGCTGGAGAGAGAGAAAAGACGGCCATCCCTTTCCCACTCCATTGCCTACCGCTTGGTAGGCTATGCTCATTGATGTGCAACCTCAGCTTGTTTCTAAGTGGAGGTGCTGCACAAAAAGGGTTTTCTTGTTAAATGCCCACAAATGCAAAATGCATACATAAGATGACCGTATATGAAGAATGAAAGAAACTTCCCATAGCATTTTATTTCGCAGACCTATGGGAGGCTGCTTCACCTAGCAGCGTTAGCCGCCACCACCTTGTGGCTAACGCTAAAGAAAGAAGGCATGAAAGTATTATGTCAACAGAACTGGTTTTATTGTGTAGCGAAAGACTGCATCTAAAACCAGATGAAGAGGAGTATCAAACAGCAGATTTCACCTAGTACATACAAATGAAGGAGCTGCCAAGACTTACATGGGCAGATTCCTTGCTCAAACAGAAAAGCAGCAGTAACTGAGACTTCCGTCTGCATTTTAACAACTGTTAAGAAACAAGGTAACTGAAGGGTGCAGCTTCCCAAGAGAACAGCAAACAAAAAAGAACCAGGAGATACGTCTAGTGTATGCTGTGGGATGGCACTGTAAGAAGAGAAATCAGCTGGCAGTTTTATCACTTTCTCCATTCTCTATTAGTTTTCTTTTCTTTTCATCCGTTTTCCTCTTGAAGATGCTGTCTCTGTAGAACTGAAGCTCTTTGATGCTTTCCCTGATGTCATCAAGCGCCCTGGAAAAGAATTAAGGAGGGTTTCAGAACGCATGCACACACCTTCAGCTACATCTGGATAGTAATGCTCTTTAAAAAAAGAATCCAGGCTATAAGAAATAACTCTGATATGCACGGATGACGAGTCCGTCGGCGGGGGGAGGACACTTTCACTAGTCTTCGGTATGTGGAAAGCAGTAAAAATTCACTAGTGCTGACGTGTCAGGGAGTAACATACAGCTTTATTAGTTTGTGTCACTGTGACGTTCAAGTTCTGGAAGGCCAACAGGTTCTACGGCTTCAACGATTGAAAGCAGTTCACTATCAATCCAAGAAAGCAAACAAGAGACAAGGACTCGGGAGACCTGGCGGTAGCTCCTGCTTTGGCCAGTCATCTGGTTTCTGTACCACACACAGGTGCGACTGATTCATTTCTGTTGCTGCGCCTCTCCTTACTGTACTTTGCCTGTTTAGATGCTAAGGCCCCCAGAGAAGCTGTACTTCTGTGCATTTTTACTGGGCAGCACAACAATCCTGGATTTCAATCAAGACCTCTGCAATAGTCGTTCCTCCTCTCTTTGTACCAGGGCCTCCTCTCCTGTCTAGCAAGGCCACGTCAGGACAAGGAGAAAAGATGAATCAGTTGCTCTTTTTCACTGTCGCTTAGGAAAGTCCAGAACTGTAAGTACCAAAAGAATAACACCCACAAAAAGTAGTGTGAAGGTGTGTTGCATTTTTGTCTATAGGTAGTCTGAGTAGATAAAAGAGCAAAATGGATGCACTTACTGTGCATACAGTATAGAGGAAAACGTAAGAACTCATCAAAGCCTATGGATCTCGCTGCACGAGACCCGCTGCTTCCTCTGTTCAGAACAGCTTACAATCCTAGAAAAGACAGCTGCCTAGAAGTGCTAATCCTATGTAGTGTCTTGTATTCCAAAACCTCAAAGCAAATAAACTTTTAAGGATGCCTCAGACCTGGACAGGAGCGTAACTCAAAATTAAACTCCTTCGCTGAAAGGCAAACTGATTCTTTTAACATAGTACGCCCTCAGGAAGTGGCCAGGAACAGAACGTTATCCTCCCCATTTGCAGTCCTCTAGTCTTAGCATCTCTGAACAAGCCTGCCCGATACAAGGATCGAAAAAACACTATTAAGCTACGTTTTCCATGTGATGTCTCAGCAGTGATATAACTGCATTGCCGCACAGGTATCTCGGCTTGAACAGTAAACAGTGAATCGTAACAAATAGGGAAACTTCTGGTTTTCTTTATTTTTATGATGTCTTTCCTTACCCTAACCACGTTTCACAATATAAACTATGTGATGGGGAGCCAAATCGCACAACCTCCATCTTCCGCATTAGAACAAGCATGTCCGGAGGCACACGGCTCCATAGTCTGCTCGTGAAGAGCATGGTTCCTGTATGGCACCCCTATTCTACAGAGGCAAGTAGAAGCCTCACCTGTGAGAGGCTGCCTTCTTTGGTGCAAATTCATATTCTTCTGGATACCAGCGTCTGGAAGTGAAAGAAAATGCTGCTGTTAACAGTAAAGCAAGAGTCAAAAACATGTCCATGCGGGTTTGTTACAGTTGGTGAAAGAATTTCAGTGTCAGTGGCATACAGAGAAGCGACAACCCTGAGGACTGAAGTGTTGCAAATGCCCGTGCGCACAGCTTGCCGAGTACTTTACGGCTTGTTCCGTGCCTCAGCCTGAACAGAACGGATGAAAGAAGGAGGGCCGCACACAGCAGTCTCCCAGCAGCCTTCACCCTTGTTCTAGAAGAGGGTGTGTTAGTGCCACTTAACAGGCTTCCCTAGGTTATCTTTTATGCAGCCGTTTATAATTTGAGGAATAGTTACCTGCAAAGTTCCTTGACAGTGCTCACGTCAATGATCCGGTAATGAAGGTGCCTCATGAACTGAGGCATGTATTTGTCAAGAAATTTCTTATCTGCGTGAACAGAGTTGCCTACAGAGACACAAAACAAGAGACGTCTTCAAAGACGGTCCAAAGCTACTGTGAACGACAGCTGAACTAGAAGCAGGCTAAGCAAGCTGGGGAAAGATCACAGGGCATAAAGAGCTGTTCACGAGCAGCTCATGTAACTCGTTTTCTAGTAAATGTGGTCGGGAAGGCTTGTCAGATCTTCCTTTTAGGATCACACATGCTTTAAATACGTTATTCCTATATGCTCACACTTCACTTACTTTGATAATTAAATATCTGCTTGACAGAAATTGTCATAGTAGTATTACACAAGCGTCTGGTTTTCCACCAAGTGAAAATAAGCATCGGTATTAATTTCACTCAGCAATGTTCCTAAGACTGTATGTGAATGCCCTGCATTTAGTTCCAAGTAACAGGACATTTGGAAGATTAGTATTTGGTGTTTCATTTGATACACGCGGTCAGCGAGGAGAAGACGCTGCTCCGTTTACTCTTCAGGTTTTACAGTCACTGGTTGCTGTCAGCAGTTACCTCGCCCACCGCGATCATAACTGTACAATGGAACGTGAACACTGAAAAGAATTTAAGTTTCCTGCACGAATGACGTGCAGGATTTGCAGAATGGGTGATAACATTACTGAACCTTTCTTAAGTAAACAGATTTGGATTTGCATGCTAGATCTCTGCGTAAAAAAACTAAAGCAGCCCTGCCATGTGCATCAACAGGCCTTCCAGCGTCCAACTGGGAACTGCAGGAGGGATGATCTTATTAGTATTAAGAAAGTACATATTTTACCTGCAAGAGGACAGAGACCAGGGGGTGTTTGTTGTCGTACAAAGGACAGAAACTCATACTCTGCCTGCTGCAATGAAATTTTACTCTCCTTCACGGCCTTTGTAAGGCCAGACTGCAAGAAAGAGCCATCCATCATAAATCAAGTATATACTACCATAAAAGATATTTCCAGAAATGCTCAACAGCAACAGATTAACCATTAAAATGTTGTTTCATTCCCCAACATGACCGAAAGTATTAAAAGGACAACAGAAGTCTGTGCTCTCGCGTTCTGGGAAATCTCCTTTCCTTTATTCACGCTGGATAACTTTACAGGCAGGCCTCGCTGACTTCGAGGGCACCGCTCATTAAGTAAAAATCTACAAAAGTAAAGGTGACAATAGAACAGTCCTGACAACATTGAAATTGCTGTGATTTCCCTCCCCACACGCTTGCTACGCTCCCTAGGGGGGTTTTTCTCAATTACTGAGACTTTATGCAAGCCTTCATTTACATGCCTGTATGTGCACAGTCCAGGAGATTAATTATTACACTGCTTCTATCTGTTTAACAACAGGCATTCAGCTCCCCAACACGCAGAGTAGTGTAAAGAACCAGAAGTGCAAGCTGTAGAAGCTCTTGCTTTGAGTATGTATCAGGATTCCTATGAATCAGAAAAGTTCCTTCCTTCCTTTTTTAAACAGTTCAGTGTCATCCTGTCAAATCTGCTTTAAGTGTTCTCAATGATTTATTTCCATCTGGCTGTGCTATATACATTTCCATGACTGTGCTGCAAAAATCTGCTTGACAGATCCAAGTGGTGGTTAAAAAATTCATTATGTGGCTGCATTTTCATCTATATCTTAATTGCTTCTCTTTTCTTAGTCAATTAAAAATAAGTAGCTCCTCAGGAGCAGTGGTAGCTTAAGCTACCATCCTCAATCACTTGTGAACTAGAGTCTGAGTTCTCCAGTGGAGAAGGGGAAAAGCACCCGTCGTAGTAAATGAATTTTTGTTTTCTAAACTGCTGCTCATCTTTCCCAGGGAGAGTAGGCTGCTCAAGGGGGTGGGGGATGTTTACGGATTTCTTAAAACTTCCGCACTTGATTGAAAACTACCTTGAATTCCAACTCACAGTGAGGGACTGGAAAATCCTTTCACGTTTTTGCTCCTGGCAAGGGGGAAGCTTTCTTGGAGACTGAAACAGCTAAAAATAATCTATTTCTGCAAAACTTAAGCTTTTGGTGAAAAAATGAGCTAGGTTTACAGTGCTTAAGGAGGATAGGGGAGAAAAAAAAATAACAGTCCAGTATGTTTGCAGGAAATTGCTGTGCTTAATCCTACAGATACTTAAATTGTCACTGATAAATTTCCATTTTGTCAGCTCCGGACTATTCAACACCACTCTCTTAACTATTCTAACTTGGGATTTCAAACCCAGTCTTCCCGATTTCTGTTCAAAGTAATCTCTGAATTATTTTATGCGATACAGCACAGGCTTCAACAAGAGCAGCTGTCAGAGGAGTCCATGCAGCCTGGCCTACAAGCTGGGCTCCCGCAGGAGGCAGGCGTGGCAGATAGCTCGGCAAGCAGACCGGAGAACTGAACCCAGCTTCTTCTTACCACATGACTGCTCTGCCCACTAGGATCCAGTGTGGGAGTGGGAGAAACGTTTGGTTTTACACGGAAGGAGTGAGCCTCCACCCTTTTAGAAACGGTAAGAATGGCAGCGGCCTCTGGGCAGCGGAGGCTCTGTGACTCATGAGCGGGTGACTGTACTCCCTGCGGCTCCAGAGTTTGGCATCTAAATCCCTGAGGATGACACAGCTGCAAGACTTGCTTTCTCGTGAGCATTTCAAATTGGATCCTTCAGCTGCCTTTGGACTCAGGATGGTGAATCTCACTCTGAGAGGCATAATGCTCAGCATGCATTTTTCACTCTGGGAATTAGCTGCATGTATCGGAGTGGCGGATCCTATTCCGAGGCTCGCTCATCTACAAGGCTGACACAGTAGGAAGGTAACACCATGAGCCAGCAAAGCTCTGGTCCTTTTTTTTAGGCTCCTCTCCAGAGCCCTGCAAGCACCCACAGAACAAGCAGAGGACGCTTGTCTCGTTCCTGCCCGTGGCTTTCCTGCGAGCTGTTGATCCAGACATCTCTTGGGTCCGTTCCCTGACTGCTGGCCTTTGCTGATGCTCTCTGTTCCCAAGTTAGAAAGCGGCTTCAAGCACTCGCTTTTCTGAAAAGCCAAGCTAGCTAAGGGTAGGCCGCTACAGGAAAGTCTTGCAGTTCAGATACAGGCTTAAGCTTAAGGATACGCGAGACCAGTTCCCCGGTGTGCTATGGACGACTTGTGAGACCTTGGGTAAAACGTTACGCATCAGCTCCTTGGCTACAAAATAAGCACGGTACTTACTTTCTCCCATTCTTTATCTCCTCTGTTTCATTGCAAACTGTTCAGCACAGGAGTTGTCCCTTTTTAGGTGACTGTACTGCAACTAATAATTCTGAATTATATGTCGTTCTTAGTGTTACAAAGAAACAGTAATTGTAACGTGGCCGCGGGAGAATGGTTACCTTCCCATGATGCTCTTTGCACCACTCCGACATGCCGTCCAGGAGCTCGTCCGGCTGATTAATGATCAGGTTCGGGCCCTGTTGGTGAGAAAGAAACACAGAGGTGAGCAGATCCCAATGATGGACTTGTTGAAGAGTTTTATACCAAACGGTAACCGGGACAGTTTCAGCTTTAAAATGCAAGGCTGCTGTGCGCAGCAGCCTTCAAGTTTGTGTGGGAGATGTTCCCCGTGTAGGTACAGGGTACTAGTGAGGCCAGCAGAAAAGGTGGTGATGGCCTGAGCGGGTCCTTACGGCTGTTGATCGCATCTCAGTGATGTCTCATGCAGCTGTTGATCGCGTGTCACTGATGAGCACCTGCATTCGCAGCTGGAAAGTGATGGCGGTGGCGGCGGTGCTTTGGTCGCGAGGAGCTGGACGCGGGGATACGGGCGCCGCGTCGGCG